CCAACAATTTCCCTTTTCATTGTTGTACATCAAGCTGTAAAAACACTGCACAATTTTACGCTCCACATTATCAGGTTTAAAACTTAGAAGCAATTTAGTTTCTTAGGAGTAGCAGCGATCAGATTGTTTAATGGAGCAGGCATTTAGCTTTTGCACACCACACACATTGTTTACATCAGGGAGATTGTTACAAAAAAAGTATATAAACAGAAGTTGGCCAAAATTACCAGTCTGACTCCACTTGCTACCCTCAGTCCATAAATAAATAGTTTATTAGGATCAGGCCCATTTCTTCTCTATCAACACAATGGCAAGGCATTTGGCTGGTGAGACTGCTTGGGCTGCTTTGAAAGGTTTACAGAATAATCATTTCTCAGATAAACAGTTCCTGCCCAGAGAGCTGATTGGGAGGCAGTGCATAGAGCAGGAGCTCCATCCTGTGTCCTTATCTGTGGCTGTGACACTGCCATGAGGGGGGGTATGATGAGCCCAGAGGAAGAGTGTATACATCTGATTACACCTTAGTATTTATGCTGAGTTTTATCTTTATCTAAACCTTTGAACATGGAAAATGTAAATGTAGCTTCTAGGATTTGCTTTTGTGTGAGGTGTATGTTGTCACATGGAAATAAGGAAACCATCTGACAGCTTAAATACAGGATAGTATAGATGTTCGATTGGACAACACCAGCAGCTCTTGTTTGATTTGAAGCAGAGACCCGATGTTTAGCAAGAAGGGTAAGGAAAAGGTTTGAGTTCAAATCGGGAGAAAATAAGGTTTACAGAAGGGAAAGGAATACGTTCTAATGAGAACAGGGACAACGGAAGGAGTTCGTTCCACAGGTAGGCGAAAAAGACTCAAACTGATTCAAGACACATTAGATGGATTCGGGTTGGACCAGGGTGGGGACCAGCTCATAGTAACATGCAAAGTCACAGTGCGGTATGTATACTGTATGTTAGTTTATGTAATGATATATTTCATGAATGATGGCAATATATCAGGAGGATAATAGGGGATAGTGGTGGTCTAATGGATAAGGTGGGGTGAAGATCAGAATGTTGTAAGTTCAAATCCCGCCAGGAACACCACCAGTGTGCCCTTGATTAAGGCACTTAGCCCTTAGTTACAGGGAGAATGTCCCTGTAATTGATAATTGTAAGTCGCTTTGGATAAAAGCGTCAGCTAAATGAAATGTAATGTAATAATACAATTATCTTCACTCCAAAAATCACAAATAAACACACACACATGCACTTTTTCTGTTTTCTGCTCCCTTGCTCTCAATCATCTTTCTCATTGACCTGTTTTCTCTGTCTTTCTTGTCCTGTTCTCTGTTTTGGAAAAATCCGATTGTGTGTTAGTTTTCTTCTTTCTACTTCCAGTAATAATACACTGCAGGCCTTTTAGATTACACAGCTCATTAATAACACACTGCATACACCCACTAATAAGCAATATGAATCACAAACCCTCGTACATCCACCCACAGACATGCAATCATACACACACTCACTCGTCATCTGAGCTATTATGGCCCTGATTATTTTTAATTGCAACATGGCCTTTAACTGTGGAACTAAACGTTACATAAATTAGAGCCCCAATCAACTAGGCCTCTCTCTCCAATCGTGGACCTCAAAATACAAGCAGGCGGCATTACAGCCCAGCCTGCCTCTACCGCAACACACACGTCAGTGCCCAAGGTTACACCGCTGTGATGTCATATACTTTTAATGCTCCAGACAGTTAGGGTGAAAGAGAGCAGGAGGACCACATGCGTGAAACAAACACACAAATACAGTAAGTGTATACACACATCACATGCACACTGACACACTGATCAGAGATACAGAAAAGGGCCGTCATGGTGGTTATGGCGAGAGAGAGACCAGGAGTACGTACAGAGCTGCGGTTGATGTCAAGAGCGAGGTTTTTGGATAGTGCTACGGTCAAGAGGGTAATGATGGGTGAGGGAAGGGTGAGAGAGGGGTGAGAGAGGGGTGAGAGGGGGCGAGTGGGGGACACTAGGGCATATAAATGTCACATTGCTGCAGTGATTTTTCTGTCAGGGCCTGTGGTTGTAACCCAAGCCTTCCTTTCACTGGTCTGCTATGCAAAATAAGGGCGTTTAGGTCCCACAGCCAAGCAAACACAGAACATGCGGCTCATTGGTTTGGCCAATTATACACATACACACACACACCCCCCACACACACACACACACTCAATCACAAAGGATATTATTTAATAAACAGCATATATATAAGCTTCGTCTGTGCAAACCAGTGTAACAGATGCATGCATGCACGCACACTTGCACACACACACACACACACACACACACACACACACACACACACACACACACACACACACACACACACACACACACACACACACACACAATAATGTGCCAATAAGAGCAACCATTTAGTCCTGTCCACACTGAGGTCATAGAAGGTTAGCAGGAGCAGCCCTCCAGCTGACGTATAACGATACTAGTTAAACAAGACAGATGAACACACACACACACACACACACACACACACACACACACACACACACACACACACACACACACACACACACACACACACACACACACACACACACACACACACACACACACACACACACACACACACAGACTTCTATAAAAGTTTGATGTAACCACACCATGCCCAGAGACGCCATGTACAAAAAAAAACCCTGCATCAATTATCACATCAACATTCAGCATTCATCAGCACAGCAGGATTTATAGCAGGCACGGTGGAGCCAACAGCCAATAGTCCTTAACTCATTGATCGTTGCTCCTTCCAAAATAAACATGCTGATGCTGATGAGCTGTGATCCGAGGGAACTCTTAAATGCTCACAATACTTACATGGGTTCTCAGTCCTAATCCTGCCAGAGCTCCGAGCCAATGGTGTGACTTGCTTTGACCTTTGATAACATAAGACCACCTACTTGCAATCAGACCGCCTTTTCCCTCCGTTGCCTCCCTGACCTCCAATATAGCTCACCTCCTCCCCTTGCTCCCCTCTCTCCTCACTCCTGACTGTCCATTCTGTTAAACTGGCTGACACTCTAAAAACAGCCTGGGTGCATTTGAGTGGCAGGGGTAAGGCAAGGGGCTCCTGGGTCTCCATTTAGCCACTTCCTGTTTGAGGGAGCCAATATGTATGCCCCTCCAGGCCAGTGCTCAGCGTGCCATGTGTAACCAAATGAGGCTTTTTGTAGACTCTACGGCTGGCAGAGCTCTGATCATAGCTACAAAGACTCTGCTGAATATGCTAATGTTGAAAAAGCTCCCTCAGCTTGTTTGTACAAACACAGAACGGAATGCTTAATATACGCCTATGATTTGTTCTGGTTTTGTTATTCAGAATTTAGCTGAAGAGAGTGGGCTGACTTTCTGAAAGAAAATTGATGAACAACAGGCTGGTGAATTACCATTCCTCCCAAATATATACTCTATGCTAATCCTGATCAGAGCACAACAACAAGGAGATATAGTTTCTCTGTTTCTATAACTCAATGTTTCTTTCTTTCTGAATAATGCACACTGGACGCACGCACGCACGCACACACACACACACACACAGAGTATTAGTACAGCTGGCTGTCAGGTCCTCAAGCTCAGCAAGAGGTCCATAAGTACTGAAGGCTTTTCTTCCTGTCCCAGCATGGGGTACACAACTTACTCTGTGTATGAGTGTGTGTGTTAAGAGTGTATGTTTTCAGCTGGCACCTCTCAACCTTGGCAGCAGTGTGTCTCCTGGCGCGCTCAGGAACAAATTTGTCTTTGGGGTTTGGTTCAGTTTTCCTCTCTGATGTGTGTGTGTGTGTGTGTGTGTGAGTGTGTGTGAGTGTGTGTGGGTATGTGCATGTGCGGGTGAGGTAGTCCAGGGGTCTGGTCATTATCACCACTGCAGCTATTGAGCTCCAAGCAAGAGAAGAAAGAACAAAAAGGTATAGGAGTGCGGTGAAGGAGGTAAATAAGGACAGAGCCAAGGACAAGATGCCTCCGGGTCAATGGATGAAAACAATCGTTGATCCTAATGGATGACGGTGACACAAATACAACAAATAGTCTACTGGCCAAAGCGAGCACATTTCTCAAAGTAAACAAATACCAAATGCTAAGAATTCTTCTTTTCTTTTCCACTTTCATTGTTCTTATAACATTACATATGAACTACTGTAAGCCTATCTCCTAAGCAAACCAAAGGATACATGCACAATGAGTTGCAAAAACAGAAATCTTTCTATTCACCATGTGGACTGCCGAGAGAGTTGTGTGTGTTTTCGGAGCTTGTCTTAGCTGTGGCGTGTTGTGGTCACCGGGCCTGTGTGTGGTCCTGGTGTGGTTCAGCAGCTCAGAATAATTTCCATTTAAACATATCTGTGGCCCTCACTGCAAACCACCAATGTTATCCACTCCATTGGAGGTAACACCAAAGGCTTTGCCCCCTGTGTGACCCCTCCTGCGTGTGTATGTTGTGTTCGCATGTGTCCGTGTTAATGCCTGTGGGTGTTCGCACAACGTTGTAAATATGTGTGTGATTCACTTTCATCTGTCTTCCGGCATATTAGCCAAAGAGATTTCTCATGTAGTCAAGATAATGGTGAGTAAACAGGGTTAGAGTGGTGTGAGTGCTGATGGATGGGAGTGTTTTGAACAGCAGGGCCCCTTCAATGCATTGTGTCCCAGTGATGAGTGTCCCCCCCCCTCTCAGGGGTTCCTTCCCACCACAAACAGCAGTGCTTATCGGATCATTGAGAAGGAATGTGGATGCTTTCTCATGAGATACCTCCAGAGATGTTTCTCACTCACTACTGTCTTTGAGTGTGTCTCTTTGATGGACAGGGGTTATAGGTGGGACCTGCCCCGCCACGTGAAGATTTGTGTGCCGAGACAAACCTGTTTATTCAGGTTTCCAAAAAAAATAAGATATTACTTTTCTGTTGTTTATCCATCTTACTTCCTTTTATTATTATTTTTTAAGTGAATACCTGTTTGACATTGTTCAGCATAATAACACAACTAGCTGAAACATCTTCTCACCTGTGTGACATTTGTGAGCATTGTGCAGCACTATATTTAGAAACAAAAGGGTCTTTTGAAATCTGCATGGGTTATGTTTCCCCAACCAGTGGGTGGGGAAAACAGCTTACACAAAACAGAGATGAGCATTTATCAGTCACAGGATACTGAGGTGGCAACAGGGCTGCCATTGTGGCAACTCCCCAGAGAGACAATTGCTTTTCCCACATCTGCCTTTTGTACACACATTGAATGCAACCTCCCCATATCTCATCTGGCAAACAGGAAGAAATCACAGACCGGATTTGATTTGTGACCCAAAACAGCTCCAATCCCATTATGCAGTGATAAATGACCCACCGGCAAGTCAGGGAGTCTTTGCACCACAGAAAGAGGAAGAACAGGATCAACTGGAAATAATTAGAGTCACATAATTCTATTCAAGGGACTAGATCAGTGAAACAATAGGGAACATATTACACTACTTAGTTGGTGAGAATTAGATCACCGTTGTAGGAGGAAGCTGTAGTTAGTGTAACTGACTAGTTGAGAGGTGGACAGAGAAGCTTGTGATGGCTAAAGGGACCTTGGTGTTGACATGAAGACCAAAGCAGAGCAGCTTCCTGATGGCACTGGGTCTCTGAGAACCGCTGTCGTTTTGTACACCTCTGTAGGCACACAAACACGTAAGAGTTGGCCTGGCATGGCGCATGAATGCTATGCTTCAAAGTTTGTGAGAAGATATCTAAGGATGTCTGTGTCCATTTCTTAAATAAATACAGATGTATGTTGTGGTTGGCCTTCGATTCCAGTGTCATGGTCTTTATCGTGTCTCTTTGTGTGGGGGATAGGCCTCTGGGATAGAGTCTTATATCAATGACAGAAGAGCGAAATACCAGATGCAGTCATACAAATACATGTGCGCACACACACAACTGCTCATGGGGAGGCTAAAAAGCAGAAAAACACTTCCCCACAGCCAAGTACTTAGAGCAGATACTGAATTAATCAGTCGAATCCGTCCACAACAATAGAACAGTTTACAGACCAGGGAACAATGCTTCATATTAACTATATTGAAGGTCTGCTTCGCAAAGAGCCTTTCAACACAACTGTTAACAACATACATTTTAAACATCATTTTATTTCAAAAGTACACAAACAGGACCAATGTCATTCAGTAAGGCAAAGCTCAAATATTAACAACCACTCACGTCAGAGGACTCAAAATCTCATAGTCACAGTTTATGGGTACCACTTGCAAATAATAAATAAAACTATTTTTTTCTTCATATATAGACTAGAACTTTTTTTTTGTTGTCATCATGAAAAAAGAACATTAGACAAACATTTCATTACAACCCCAGCCACATATAATCTTCTTCATCTTCAGTATTATTCTTTTTTTTCTTTCTCATCACTATTGTCCATGAGAAGTCAGAGTGGGCCGGGGGGAGGTGCACCTGTCTTTCTCCTCATGGGTGTTACGTGGCTCTAATGCCCAGTTCCAAGCCCAGCTACAGACCCTCAGCAGCTACCCAAAATAACTGAACATAGTGGTGTGAGTGAGAGTGGGTTTTATTGGACCACTTGTGCAGTTTTAAGCTATTATGTGCATTCTTAGCATTATTACTTTGTTCAAAACTTTGCATCTCTGCCCAGATCTTTTCATGCAACTCAAGTGATTTTGCTAAACCACCGTAATTATCACTACTTAGTAGCTTTAATAGCTATCCATTTTCAATCCTTCCAAATAGGTGGCACTGTACCTCAGGGCTAGGGGCTTTGTAGTGGGTGAGTTGGAAAAGGGCATAGTTTGATTAGGGGCAGGAGTGTTTCTGTGGCATCGTTGCGATTCTTTTGCATGCCGAGCCAAGCCGATCCAAATCAAGTTCTGGATGGAGAGGCATGGCCAGCTCTGGTCACCTAGGGAACAGCGCCAGGAGGACGCAGAGCAGTGTTGCCGCGAGCGACGGGGTGAGCCCCATAGCTCCTCCACACTCCATTGAGTTCTCCTAGAAAAAGAGAGAGAGAGGGGGGGCAAGATACAGACAGATATGGGATATTTTAATAAAACATGAAAGTGGAATTAGCAGGGGATATATTATGAGAGAAAGTAGTATAATAGTGAGCGATCTGTGTGTACGGTATGTGTGTTCAAGGAGTGAATACCTCTGGGTGAAAAGGGTGACAGGTATCAGGGCGCCTCCTGTCCTTTTGCATCTTCAACCTCTCGCACTTGAGAGATTCATTATGTGCAGCTCAAGTTAAGGCAATAACAGACAATGTGTGCCCTCGGCAGGGTGTTTTCCTGCTGGAGTCTTTGTCTTGTTTATAATGGAAATAAAAGCATGTGTGTGAGAGCACCATGGATAGAGGTTTTTATGGAAGCAGTGATACTTTTTGAACATTGCAGAGTGCAAAATGTGAAGAAAGAAAACCGACTGAGCAATGTTTGATGACTTTTCTTTTGTCGCATAGCAACACAATAGCAGGCTTTATGCTAAAGTAAGCACTCCACAACAAAATAAACAGTGGTGGACATGTATAAACAGCTTGAGTGTACTGCATAACATTTCAGAGAGATGAACATTGCAGGGGAATCCAGCTTAAGTATTTGGTGATGATCTAAGTTCCTTTAGTCTGACTCTACTCTGAGCTGTGTCTGCTATTGATCAGCATCCCACCGCAGCGTGGGCTGTTGTGTAACTCAGTCCAAACACAGACCCAGCACTGTGAAACAGACTTCTAGAAGAGTGATGTCTCGCAGTCTTCAGATACTGACCCTCATAACACTCTCATCTCTTTCATCCACCAAAAGGGTAAAGGGCAAACAAACTTCCCAAATCTTCCCCACAAATTAAAATGCTCTATGCTATTAACATCCTGCTGACTTCGATGGACATACACTGGCTATAGCTTTAGTATTGTGACACAGGAAGTGATGAGGTGGAAGAGAATAGAGTTTCTATTAAAAATAACATAGACAGGTTAGACTGTTGTTTTTCTCAGCGTCCAGGTGGTAAAGGGAAATTGGAGAGACAGGTCAGCAGTAAAACACATTAAGCTGTCCACTAGAATCATATCTTTCTTGATCTTCAGTGAATTTCAAAAAGCACCATGTATTTGTATTTGAGCTGAGACATTTACTACTAGGTTTGTGGATTTTAATCAAGATTGTCAAATGTGATTCTAGCTGTTGCTTTTCTCATCTTTACACCCCTGTCAAATATAACTCCAAATCATCTTGGTGCCACTTCCTCTAACTCAGGAAACCAATGTTCTCACTTTTACTCAATCACCCCCAGCTCTCTATTTGTTTTGCCAGTAAAGGATATACATGATTTCGATGGGGTCCATGGTGATTGGCTCGAACATGCTGCAGTCACACTTGTTGTCCACCACCACCATGAAGAGATTGCTGCTGGGGATCTGCTGGATCACAAAGGCCCTGCCAATCACAGCAAAGACAGCCAGAAACAAAAAAAAAGATGAGGAAGGAAGAGAAGGAGAGCAAAGAGAGGATTGAGAGTTGGATTGGCAAGTAGACAAGGCGCCAGGGTATGATGTACATTTCTTGAGTCGGAGGATTTGTGTTATGATTGTTCACATTCCCCCCCCCCGGCGAAGGGAAGATGCACCACTGGATGCATGTCGAGAAGAAAACTTGTCTCCAGGCCAACTGTCAATAAACATACAGAAACATCGACAGACTCACACATGCTTCTCTAACTAACTCTATCGCCTCCTCTTCCTCATTATTTTCCTTCTCCTTTGTCTTTGTTATATCCTATCTAACCAATGAAGTGTTGCCGAATATAAAACGCTCCAAAGGGAGACAAATGGGAAACACACTTTTTGGGCTTATAGCTTCTCATGGTTGTGTTTCGCCTCGGACTCCTGCCCAGTGATTTATGACCTTGGATAAGCTTTACGAAGAAGAAGAGTCGTAAAGATGATCTCTTCTTTCTGTCTCCCTTTCTTTCTTTATCTCTTGCTTCTCTCCCTCTCTCTCTTCTTTCGCAGCTGGGTGATTTATCGAGTATGAGAACATTCATGTGTGACCGATTGGACACACACAAATGCTGAAAGACACGTATTCACTTTCTCAATTCTTGTCAAGAAAGAAGTAAGACAGTCGATCAAAACAGATATAGAAATATCTCCATCCATACTAATTCAATACCATGACCAATTTCATTTGACCACAAAGAGAGCCTGAGTAGTGCCAATCCACCACACTCTAATTCAGTCATCCCGCCATGACCAACCAAACCAATCCAGCAAGTAGGCCAAACCAGTTCCAATCAGGGTGAATTAGGATCTGCTGATTTTTAATAATCTCTGCTCACCCCTGCTCAGCCTGATAGAAAGCAGGGCAAGTGTTTTTAGAGTAAAGACTCAAACACATCCTGAACGCACAGCTGCTGGCCTTGAACATACCCAGTGCGGGGAAAGGGATCTCTACGCTGCATATACAGGCACACACTTGGACACAAAACAATGATGTTTATCATGTGCACAGATACACACACAGAGAGACAGACATTCATGCATATTCTCTCTCGCAAACACACAGATGGTAAAGATTGTGTCTTCTTGACGTGGACTCCTAGTGTTTTGGCTCTTAGAGATGTTGGCCAGCAGAGGAATGAACAACAAAGACATCCAAGAAAAGTGAGCTTGAGTGAGAGAGACGCACAGAAAAGAGATATAGTCATCAAAGAGAAAGAAATCAAGAGTTAGGGACATTTCATAAAGCGGGTGTACTGTAGGGTAATATAAAGACACACACAAAGCTGTGGTGACAGAACAATGTCTTCTTCTCAACATTTTGACCAAGACATATCACACAATCTGTAACTGAAGCTGATAAGACACTTGCACTGCGTATCAACCCTTTTTGATCATGAAAGAAATGTTTTAATCTTTCCATTGTCAGCTGTACTGAAGCTCATTTTAGAGGTTAGGGCTTAGATTATAGCATTTCACAGAACATTATGCTTTGATACAGATAAGGGGCACAGTTTTTCTGCCTTTCATGGTCAAATCATGATCAGTTTTGGCTAAGTGTAATATTTTTGTGCATCTTGTGGAAAATGTTCTCATTTTTCCCAGTAATGTATTTTGCGAATCATTTAACCAAAACCATACTATAAATTTACAGTATGGTTTTCAGAGACCTCAGTCAACACAGTTGGGCGCTTTCTACCAGTAATTACTGCATGTAATTTGACAATTACTTTTGAAAATGCTCCACTTAAATATCAACTAAAAGATTGGAGAGTTCTCAGACCACTGTTGTCCTTTTATTTTAATGTATCTCATGTGTTTCGGGGTGAAATGAAACCATTATCAGAGTATTCTCTACAGCATGCTTTTCTTTTTGACTGTCAAAGTCGATGCAACAAAGTACGTTTATGCTTTTTTTAGGGCCATCATTTCCTTTGACATGTGTCGAGCCTTCCTTGACAATTTTACATTTTGAACAACACATTTGTTTTGAACTATACACAAGGAGAGATATGTAATACTTGCAGATTGCTGTTTTAAGAGACAGTACAGAGAAATTGGCTTCATAGGTGAAATCGTCCTTTAGGGCTTTTTTTTTATCATTGGCTAGATTTGTTTGATTCTTATGATCCGTCACTCTGTCTCAACCATCAAGAAGTAATAGACATACCAACATCACATGCACACATGCACAAACACAAGTGAAAATACAGTAAAGTGAGATTTAACAGGCAAGGGCTTAGGGTATATTCCTAGAGCATAAAGCACACACACGTGTCCCAATGAAAATATAAGAGAAAGGCCTCAGTTAGCCTTTAACGTGAAACAGATGTTTATCACCAATATCCTCTATTACTAATATAAGCTGTAAAATCCAGAAATAACCGAAATAAAAACTTCATTTGACTTTGTCAAAATCTTTGTGCTTTAAAAAAGATTTATTTTAAGGTAACATGTTGCTCACAGCACACAGAATCCCAGTTGAGGGTCATCATGTCATCTTTTCTGATTCGCGCTTCGGTCATGAGTATTTGGGTGGGTGAAAGTGTGTGTGAGAGGGTGCTGTGTGTGTACCCTGAATGTGTGTGTTTACTGACTGCATCCCCAACCACATTTTAGTCCTAGCACCCAGGGCAGTGGTTACCCTGCTGACCTAGCACACACACAGCCCGACACACCCCCGCACCCACATGCACGCACACATGCACACACAGAGCCTCCCTGGCAGTTCCACAGCTGGGAGCAATGAAGGGCCCATTGGAAGGATCCAGAGAACACCCCACAATTGCCTGACAGAAAAGCCCAAATTGTTAATGGGGACCACACTCATTTTCCCATTTTTAAAGGAAGCATTTTTTCCACCTCTCTCCCTCATCTCTAAATGCCTCGTATTTCAAACTGCCGGAGGAGAGAGTGAGTGTCTGTGTGCGTGTCTCTGATGGATCACCCTGGATAAAAGTGTTTTCAGCAGACAACAAATGATTTAAATGTGTTTCTCATTATCAGGGATCAAGGACATAACATATTTTGCCAAGATGAGAGTTAACTGGATAATAATTTTGTAATTGCTGGCTTGTTTTATGGAGCACAGTGACACAATTGGTGTATAAAGGAAATTACAGACATGTACAATTAAACTGTTTGTTTCTGTGTTCTCTATGTGTGTTTACATATGTTTGTTTGTTTGTGTCTCATACTTGATGCAGCCGCCACAGTCAACGTTCCCTGTGTTCTCTTTGATGGTTCTCTCGGAGATGAAGGCTGGGTACTCTGTGTCACATGGTACCTGCATGCTCCGGCCTATCCTCTGAGCTGCAGGATGGGAGAGAGAGAGAGAGAGAAAAAGAAAGGGAGTGAGAAAAACCGGGAACATCTTTTTCAAAGTCAAATACATCTTTTAAATAGGTATGCATATAGATTGTAGGCAAACTGTTAAACACACCACATCCTTGTAAATATACAAGTTTGAAAGAAAGCAGCTCTTCTGAACCACAGCTGCCTCTCGTCCTGCTGGAGATATTTCCAGTGTGAATCTAGGCCAGCCATTTACGCAATATTACTTGAACTCTCCTGCCACCCAGAGGTTTCAAACAAGGCTACAGGCTACTGGAAAGGAGAAAAGGAGGCAAAGTGGTTCCTTTTTCTATTTGGGTCAATATTTTTAAAGCAGGCTTAATAAAGCAGGCGCTAATATTATCCAAATTAGCATATTAAATCTAGACATTTAAAGACGTGTGGTTTTATTCTTTAAGTTCAGTTCTTCCAGGGGGGCACATTTTTTCCACCCATTTCTAAAGATGGTGGATTATGTGTGTGACTTGAATAGAGTGGTTTAATTACTGGATGTCAGCAGTGCAGCGTGTGTGTGCAGTTGTATATATGTACATGTTAGAAGCACAAACTACATGTATAAATGCCTCGGATTAGTTCAGCTTGAGAGGCTGTGTCTATTGGGTTACGGGCTGCTAAATTGGGGTGTTCCAGCTGTGTGTCACAGGCCTGCGTCTCTATTATAAAAAGATACAGAAAGTGCTGCTAAGACCTGAGGCTAGCCAGCTGTGAAATTGTCTCGACTGCTTGGCGAACAGCGATGCCCAGCTTCACTTCATACGGGATAAGGGTGTGCAAGGAAAGCATTTTACAGACTTTCATTTTGTGGTTCTTTCTCTTTCTCTCTACCCTCTCTCACTTCTACATATGAAATATTTTAATATTAGTTTTGGCGAGAATTAATATTTTATGATGCTGCTTAGGGAGGCTTTAATTCCAGAGAGGCGTACCGTATTCAACACACCATAAAGAAAAAGGCATCATAGCGTTCATAGCTTGGCAGTAATGATATGAAAATGTGTGTGTGTTTGCGGGAGAAAGTGAGACAGAAAGGAAAGACATAAAACCAGAAAAGAGAGAGCGATTGAGAGACTGAGTGAGAAAAGACAGAAATAAAACGTCTGTTTTCTTCAGTCACAAACGGATATTGCTTCTCAACACTAGCAATATGACATATATCCTCATAAAGTCATAATGGTAACCCCTCTGGACAAGCAAACCAATACAAACATGTGTAGAGACAGACAGCCATACGCGCCGTCTCCCATACTGAGGTCACTTGAGGCAATCATGTGTTCTGCCATTTTTACTTTTAGGTTTGGATTGCGCCTCTTTATTCTGTTTTTCCAGTGGTCACACAGACCGAGAGAAAATAGAGGGGAGATGGCGCGGATGCAGACTGGAGGTTGGTGCTGAGGACACTAGTTGTTTTTATGTCCGCAATGAACTTAAGTCCATTTGACCTCAAGAATTAAAATGAAACACTGACGGTGTACACGTCATTTTTATTTTGTCTTTTGATTATTTATTTTAGAAATATAAATAAAGCTTTGAAAAAACAGTAATGGGTTTATAGGTGGGTGTGAAAAGGAAAAATGACTCAGTTTCCTTTAGAGAAATTAAAGTTAACTGCAAAAACTATTAACAAATTCCTTTTTGGAAACCAAAATATTAGGTGATATTTATTTATTGGTGCACATGGATATGTTGAGACATAAAAAATATATATGTATGTTTGTATGAAAAGTTTTCATTTTCAATGTGTTGTTTAGTTTTTTTTAAAGAAGAATATATGTGTTTTTTAAAATCTTTCTGGCATTTATTTGACCTTTTAGTTTCTGTTCTGTTTCTGAATTGTTTAAGTACAATTCGAGACCAGGCATAAACAAATATATATATATATAATACACAGAAGCTTTTGACATGTTATAAAAGTTTTTGCAGCAAATTAGACATTTGAAAACACCAAAAATGTAAAGAACCATATTTGTAAAATGTATCAAATGAATGCAAACCCATTTAAATCATTACAATTAACAATCAAACATTCGTAGAGCTGTGTGCAAAGGACAACATTGTACAGTCAGAACAATAATCCTGATTCTTTCTCAAGCTTTATCAGATTATTATTATTACTGTTATTATTATTATTATTATTATTATCATAACATAATTATTTATGACCGTTTGGTCATAAATAATTATGTTATGATAACAGTTTAGCCCATGTTCAACTTCTGATCAACCCTTACAGTGTTGTTTGCATGCCTTATCTATTGGAGATGGAAAATAAATAATCTTTTTTGTTTATAAATATTAATATATATCCAATATGAGCTGCATACTTTCCTAGGAGTTTGTGAGTTTGCTTCAGACGCAGACGGAGAACAAGCAGATCACCAAAGAGTGCGTTCTTACCTTTAGCTGTGAGGTCAGAGTGCCACCAGCTGTACAAGTTAAACTCCACCAGGAATCTAAAGGAGGAGACGACATTGATCATAACAAATACATTCCATAACATGCTTATATCATAAACACTGTCTAATGCATTCTTAACATTTTTACATAGGTGATTTAAGTTTCCCAAAAACTATAGTTGGGCACAAACATTTATTTTCACAAAAGATGATCAATTAATATTTAAAAGCAACTGTGACATTAAAATACATGTTTATCTTAAGGCCAGATATCCTATTTGTGGTACCGCACTTGATCTAGATTTGAGGCGAGCTCGGCCGATACTAGAAGGTGGAGTTAACACACTGCAGAACAGTGCAACTCAAATGCAACTCATGATAAACTGCAAAAACCCAACATGTTAAGGTGGCAGAAGTACTGTCAGTAACAGAAAGTAAATGTCTCACTTGCCCCAGTATCAAAAAAGTGGCAGGACGCAAAACCACACGGTGACCCACTAAGAACAGATGTTCTTTGAGTGGTTTTAAGTTCACTTACTCATATGTGGTTATTTAGATTTTCATTTGATAAAGGGAAACAAACACATCAATTTGAAAGGAAACACATAAATCAAAAGATCAATAATATTGCAAACATTTTCTGCACTGTGACCAGCTGTCAAATTAGCACTGACAACTCATTCCTCCCATGATGCACTGTGGCGACAACAGACCACCCAGGAAGACTCGGCAACCAAAACAAGGCATCACAGGCATACCCCTGCTACAGGAAACATCAGGTAGCCATTACTGCTCCTGATCTCTGATGATCAGGTCGATGTGCATGTGGAGACACTGGTAAACAAACATTCAGTTTCTACATAGCCACATACACACACTGAACATACACACACTGACAGGAGAGGCCACCATAAGAGTCCTCAAAACGCACATCTATGCAGCGAGCGTATGCAGACAAAAGACACTTCACACACAACAGAGTCTTACATGACAAGCTCAGTTAGGATCCACTTTACAGCTGAGAAGAAAGCAAAGTACGGCTAAAGAAAGAAAAGAAAGAGGAAATATGGATCAGACATAAAAAATACATATTATGCTGTGCCCACGTTGCATCGCATGGAACGCACAGGTTGGAAAACAATGCAGTACTCACATCTAACAGTGTGTGTCCACTGTCACTGCTCTCTGAGAAAGCCCAACATAGAGCCTGGTAGTCATACAGAGTCACCCTGAGTAAATAAAGATAGAAAACAGAGGGCAGGGAGTGAAACAGAGGCATCACAGATACAGATAAAGTAGGTTAAAACTGATCAAATGTACTTTTTTTTAAATAAATAAGGAATTTGGCAGGAATATACAGCCCATATAAGGTGATTGAAGTGTTGATTCGCACATTATCTCTGCTTTTACATGCCTGCAGGGCCTTTTGGAGTGCTGTGTGGGAGCAGGAAGCAAAGATCCCACCTCTGCTATAACTCCCACTTTACCTACGGATAATATATTGGATGGATGTAGCAAGAATGGGGAAAGGAAAGCAACTGAAAGCCGAGAGCTTCCCGAGAGGTTTCTCAAAGTGATGTAGGAAGGTGGGTGTGTGTGTGTAGATGATTTGGGGATATTGGGGGGGGGATATCAGAGGATTTAAGGGCTTAGTGGACCCTGAGGGTGTGAGGTCTGGGTCTGTCTGGGTGAGGTTATTGAAGGGGTTCCTAACACACACATACACAAACACACACACATTCACCTACACACTGGACGCTCTTTCTCACAGCCTGTGGACACGTTCCTATATACTTGAAATGTGCATGTGTGTCTAAGTGGGCCCGGTCTGTCCGCAGCCCTGGGCCATGCTCAGCACCGGTGACACACAGCTCCAACACGGCCAGGAACCAATTAGCGCTAAGCCAGGCCACGAAATGCTAGCAGCTAAGTTAGGCCAATGTAATGTCTGTCTATGTGAGTGTGTAACTGCTGCGTATGAGTATGGGTGCGCCAGCCTTAATTTGTTTGGCATTGGAGCATAACATCACTCTCATTGTTTTGATTGATTTCTCTTCCTATTGCTGGTTTTGAAGGATAGATAATCCTAAAGTAACTAAAAATATGTTGTCCTCATTTGTCTTCATCTGCAGGCTTAAAGCTGATGGATTAATCCAGGCTGGCAGCTTGGGGTCGACTTTAAGTGGCACACTTTGAAATGTCTTTAATGTTTTTTTTATCAAGACAAAACTTGTTTTGCATTTTAGCATATTAATTCTCCACAGATGGCTCCGGGTTAAGACAGATCACATTGGATTCATTAGTGATCAGCTCTATTGCTCATCATGCTCTTATTTCACCCACACAAGTCTTATTATTCATTCATCATATGTCGTACTTGATTTTAAACAACCTCTCATCATCTGACATTAAATATTGAGTGAAAGCACTTGTTGTTCTCTTTGTTTTTATGAGTGCGACAGTAAACCACAGCTGACAGCTTTTGAAGTTCATCCTTATAATAAATATGTGTAGTTGTCTACTTGTTTGATGACTTGTCACCCATGATTTTTATACATGGAGAGCTAAAATCTCCTTACCCACTTCCCGAATACAGAACTGCAGAGATGGAAATGTGGTTGCAAGTTTCTGCAACTAAGTTCTCAAATAAGGTTTGACCATACAGTCAAACTACAATATGCGTCTGTCTGCTTCTCTGCAGTTCTGCACTAATACTGGGAAAGTTATCCTCCGAGGTTACATTTCCAAATTAATTGCAGAAAGGCGCCACCCACAGCTCCTGGCGTTTTCCAGGAGACACTGCTCTACAACAGGCACTAAACGCGTGATTGTGTCTAAATATGCGTGTCTGTGTGACTTCAAGTTTCTCCTAATTCCTTCGTTTCAGGAAAAGATTTGCTGTAATCCCCTAACGGAGAACTCTGCTGAGCGAAGGGTCGGAGTTCGACGCTGAATAGCTCACCACGATTGGCCAAGTTAAGAGCTGTCAGCGCGAGGGCAGACATGCTCTCATTCTGTGGCCTGCCTGATTTTATGCTCGTACAATAACACACACTCATACATACGCTTATACACTTGTAAGAACACACTCATTCACCCCCACACACGTGCAGTTTGAAATACTCACCTTTTGAAAGAGCCCATCTGCAGGAGCTTACTCATTACAGCCCCCTCTGCTTCTCCAAAGAATTTCCCTGTCTGAGAAAGAAAAAGAAAGATATTTGATCTTATTTAATAAAACAAGTCATAGGACAATGTAAATGTCTAACTAACATCCCCTAAAAATGATGTGTTTGTAATGCTAGAAACTCTTAAATGTACAAAAGCTGACTCGAGTCCAGGTTGGATTGAATGCGAGAAAACTTAATTTGCCAAACCCTAAAGCATGCAGACACCATCCCACATTGCTAAATGGTCTGTGGGATCTCTCCTTATGCTCCACCAAATGACCAAGTGGCCATGGCTGAAGAGAGAAATCATTGATGCAAACACAAACTGGTCTTTCTAGGGACAGATTTAAGAATACAATCTCCCACACACAATGCTTCCCAAAGTCTGTCATAACAACTTCTAATAGTCTGGAAAGAAAGGTCAACCATCTTTGGATATAGCTGCCCCACAACTGTCTCCTTCCCCATCATTTTCCTGACCACAAGGTGACATTGTCAAATGTTGTTTGACTTGTAGTCACTCTATACATTCGAGAAAACATGTTTAGTGTTTCCCGGATGTAAAGATGCCACAGGGGCAAAGGTATCAAATTATAAGCATTAGTCGAATCAGACACAGGACACAGGAAATTGCCTGAAACTAATAACACAGCCTGCAGCCCAATCAGAGAGACCTGCTCATGACATTTTCACGGATCACATTAGTATAACCTTCTTGGATGAAGGAATTGTTCTTGTCTTTCACAAGTACAATGAAATGAAACAACTTGACACGTGGAACCTTAAATGCTCCCTCACCTCTAAATTAGGATTAAATAAAGGATAGGTGCCAGCAAGTAAGGGACACAGGAAAAGAACATGCAGGGCAGTGACAGCCATCGGACTGGCTTCGAGATGAGCCAGACACAGAGTGACAACATGTCTGGTGACAGCAGAGGGTAGGGGAGCAACATGACTCCTTGAGATCATTTGTGGCGACATGAGATGCAGGAAACATATCATAATTCTAATAGGAAAAAAAATGTAAGGGGCTCATACTGTATGTAGTTTTGATTAAAATGTTTGCTCAGTCTTTGACACATAACATGCAATTGTAATCCAATACACTCTTTGTCAAATCCAGTAAGTAACTCCCCACATTGACTGTGATATTCATACACAGCGCTAGCTCTGTAAATGGAAAGTGGCTTGGACCGAGCCACCCAACGTGATACCAGCCACCAGCAACAGGGGGCGTTTGTTCCCGTGAACAGGGTCACGCTTTGGACGTATAAGGGACAACACATCTGGACTGGGGTGTTTGTTAGGGGTTGAGTTTTTTCCAGAATAGTAGCATCGACATTTAAAATGAATTGTTTAATCACAATTTATAAAAAAATATATAATGTTTTTTTGATGTTTTTGCTGGTTTCATAAAAAGTGAATGGGCTACTAGCTCCTCTTGAAAAACAACTGTTTCTGATTTTTTTCTTGATTTTTATTTTTGCAAAAAGGTGATGTGTTTGTTATAGCTACGACTGTTATGGAACATTTTCCATTGATCTGTCCTGCGCGGCTCTCATGTGTGTGTGTGTGTGTGTGTGTGTGTGTGTGTGTGTGTGTGTGTGTGTGTGTGTGTGTGTGTGTGTGTGTGTGTGTGTGTATCTTAGTGTGTAGATGGATTACCAGAGTATAGTCCTCTGCCACCAAAACAAAGCCGTTGTTGTCAATGAGGTAGCAGTTAATGTTCTGTTGAATGAAGAAAAAACTGTTAAAGCAATTGTGAGGAGTAACATTTACAGAATCGTGCAAAGTTGATGAAGAAAAGCAAAGACAACCAACCTCATCGTCACAGCTTATGGAGCATTTCCCATCTAATGCTGCACACTGAAAGATACAAATAATATATTGGCATACTGTGTATGAGTCACACTGAATATTAGGGCTTTATTGGATTCCTTTTTCCGCTGAAAACATTTCCTCCCTTCAAAAATCTTTGTGAGATACATTAATAAAACTAAACACACTGATGACCTTCCCATGTTCAGATTTATACTGAACAAATGTCATGGTAATTTTTTTCAAATAGACTTAAATGACTTTATTTGTTGTGTTTTTAAACTACTGTTAGTAAGTAGGCCTACTCTTTCCTATATGTTATTTCAAGTTAAGTGTGCTTGTAATATTGGTCTGAATGTGTATGCATGCATGATGTGTGTTTATGCCTCTTTACCTGTCTGCTGGCAGTCCAGAATTTCTTCTGAAAGAACTCCAGTTTCATTTGGATGCCAACAGCTGAAAAACAGAACACATTCACTGACGCACTGTAACAACTGGACATTTGCTTGTTCTGTTCTGCGTTGAAGTGCAAGTGAACTGTGATCCTTATCACAACACCAATCTTCCCACAGGCAAGACAGAGCTTATTAATGAATACACAGAGTCAAAGTTCACCTTTCATTAACCAACAAGACACATACATTGCAGCGAACGACTCCAGGCCAAAAGGACAATTACACCCTGCATAATACATGTGTCAGCTTATATTTCTGGGAGGCTAAGTGTGTGTGTTTGTATCTAAAACAGTACTATCTGCTGACATGTGCACAGATGCCGCTAACCACACTGAAAATGCAGTTAAACACCATTCTAAAGCAGACTTCTCTCTCTGTGCCCACATGAAATCCATCTTATTTCCCAGTCTGCCTCCCTGTTGTTATCCCGATGGGCATTTCCAGAGTTGGTATACAGAGCTGCTCTCCCTTATATAAGCCTCATCACAGCAGGTCCCTAAATTCACAAATCTGACCAGAATTCCTTGCCTGGAAAAAAAACAGTTTCTGGCATTAAATGTATCATTTTTTTCAGGGTTGGCTGAGGAAAGAATGACACATTCACCACAGGCTTTAACTTCCCTCTTCAACTCTTCGTCCCTCTACCCCCTGCTACTAAGACTCAGAGGAATCTAGCTTTCTCTTAGAGGGGGTCTGCCATGTGTTGGGGTCTGTAAATCTTTTCAATTTAAAGCTTCATCCAAATGCAGAGAAGCCACAGGTAGTAAACGAAATGACGAGATGAGAATTCGGCATTTATCACATTAGACACAGTGGAAAGATAAAAATTGCAATGATAGAAAATGCAATGTGATACCAACTGATAAAAATTGATTTATGTCTTTTTGTGAGATGTGTAAAGGTATTTCACACTAAATAAGAAGACTGAATGGAAGGTGGGTTATATATATATGTATCGTGCTTAAACAAATTAGTTCCAAAAACGTACAGAAGTCATAATGAGTTGAAATGTATACATGCAACAAGCTACAACAACAAAAGTGGGCCACCACCTATAGGGCAACACCGCATTAAGACAGTAACACATTGGTTAACTCTTAATAGAGCAATCCTGGCTACACATTGCTAAACTCACATTTCAATTCCCAAACTGTCTGTACAAATATACAGAAATCCCTCGATGACTCATGTTGTTAATTGTAGATTAATTAATATATATATTCATTTTTATGGGAGACATTTAGCAATATATGCATTATGTGTTTAGATATTCTAAGTGCTTATGAATAACTTATCAATGAATTGGTAGCTATTAAGCAGGAAGGATTTAATGTGAGTCAATTTTGTCTACCTGTAACATGATGAATATAATATAACTTCTCAATGATATAATAAATATATAACTCAACAATTGTTATTCTTAATTGCATAAATTATTACTTAATCAAGTCACACAATTTGGATTCTATACACACATACACAAATAACAAATATTACTATTTTATTATTATAGCTGTATTTCATTTACATGAGTTTATATTTTATAGTACCAAAATTGTAGCAGTAACTATAAAATGAATTGTTTTACTGCCTAATGCAGGGATAAGGAAAGGCAACTGTGTGACCATGCAGTTTATATGTTATTGATCATAATGTAAAACAAATTAAAATGGGTTACTGTGAGGGATCCAGTACAGTCAATAGCTTTTACAAAAATGCACTACAGAAAGCTTCACTGGTTGTCAACATGTGAATTGTCAGTGAGAAATATTCATTTTGTTTAATTCGTTTGAGTGTGATCGTGCATTTGTGTGATTGTCTAAGAGCAGTGTGCAGCGGGGTGCTGCTGTGGCCTGTTTTTAGCCCTTGCCCAGAGGAACAGGTGCAGATTATCCCGTCATAAGCGTTGCCAGTTCCTTTCAGCAGCCCACCATTTCTACACCCACATGGAAAACCCAGGAGGGGAAGCTAATTTGAGATGCTGGGCAACAGCGTTGGAAACACACGTGGTGTAAAACCAGGGAGAACCTGGATCATAAAGGCAATACAGCATCCTCTACTTTAAAAGGTAGAAAGGAAACAGTCACTGAAAAAGAAAAAGATGAGGAGGCCAAATGAGTACTGTAAGAACATGTAAACTTAAAATATCTCATCCAAAACATAAAAAGACTATTTATAAAATTGTCAATGAATAAAACTATATTTTAAATATCATTACATAATCGTTCAGCAAGGGAAATAATTAATGGAAACAAAAATCCAGTTTCCAGCAGTACAGACGTTTGCATTGATGCTGCCTGCTACCTGGAAGTTGGCTCAGAGCAAAAAGAGAAAAGCTTAAATCTCACTAATGCTCGGGAATTTCTGTCCAATAGGGAACCATTTCATTTCCCTAGGTATGATTTAAGAACTTGTGGGGTATTTATGCCTTGAGCTGGGTTTATAAGTCCAAAGATGAAGAGACATAAAATCCACAACAAACCCTTCCCATCACCAATCCACTAGCATTACAATCCCAGGCAGGGAGAGATGACAACCGGTTTAAATCCTTCAGATATTTGGGATTCTGAAAAGGATTGAATAAATGTAGACATGAACCAGCGCAAGAGGGCATCTGGGAGTTTGCAAGTATGTGTGCTCATGTACTACGTGCTGTGGCAAGGGTTAGCATTTACACCCCAGCCTCAGCACATGAAGGACAGGCAATACACTGACATCTAGTACATATTTCACACAGAACACACACAGCTGTCTGAGAGCGGCAGTGATTTCCAAATGTTATGTTGCTACACAGCACAGGGGGCGGATCGGGTCAAGATATTGAGCAACACTCAGAAGATGAGCAGAACAGGGTGCTGCGGTTAGCGATTCGGAAGGCTGTCTGTCCACATCAACAATATGGGGCTTTTAGCAAATACAAAGGTGTTATCACCCATTGAGGATGTATTTGCCGACTCAAGGCACCCAAGTGTGCATAGGAGTGTCGGTGCAAGAGTGTGTGTGTGTAAGTGCATGACACTAAACATGATTTAAAATAATCTTCATCTGCGCATTAATTGTCCATTGAACTCAATTTATATTAAAGCCAATATGACAGGACAAATATTTGTGATGCCCTTTAGCGGAAATACAAATATAGAGGGACAGGAGGCCAAATAGCATGAAGGGTATTACAGGGCAAGGTCAACTTGTAAGCTTAATCATAATCATTAATGAAAATGATTTGGTCATTAATCTCTTCATGTCTCCTTTGTTGACCATTTTAGTTTCCCCTTCGAGTGATGCGTAAGGTCATATAAGCTTAACAGTCAATCCATTGCCATGCAAATGCAAACACATTCAATTCCATGTGAATTTATTGCAACAGCTTAATATCTTGCTGTGTGCAAGTGTGCATTCGTGCGTTCTGTGTTGCTGTGCTGGGGGCGTGTTCTGCCAGCCCTTCTGCCCACGGCACATGCATAATATCATCAAAGCGTGCCACAGCAATGGGCATCCTCCAACTGCGTTCACTGTGTGCTGAAGTGTCTGAAGCATTTGTTCATATGACAAACCACAATCCAGATTCTAATGTTGTCTTGTTCAGCTCTTGCCAGCGGAATAGGAGGTATCGTGGATGTCTGCGTAGTGCGTCACGTGTTTGCTGTATGATTTAAGAGGAACAACTGTCCACTGGGAGATGACACGCCGCACATTCCCCAGTGGATTTGATAGAGGAGCAAAATGAAATCCAGCGAGAGCTAAGGGAGATAGTAACAAGGGTGAAAAAACAGCATGAAGTAAAATACAAGAGACAGAAAGAGAGGTTGAGAGGGAGTGAGAGAGCTAGGAAAGGAGAGAGGGAGAGTAAGGGAGAGAAAGCGAGATAGAGAGAGAGAGGCAGAGCTCCTTAACTGTAGTGATTCCCAGACTGGCTGGCAGTAAGCTCTGTGCTCTGATCTGCCCGCTCTGATGGGGTTTCATGCTTGTGCAGGCAGCGTTGGGGATCCTGAGGGCAACACGGGTCTCTGCTGCTGATCTCGGCCTCTCTAATTCTAACATATTGACCATATATGCCTACACAGGACAGCTAATCTCAACCTACTGACGGCTAATGGATCATCAACCAATAACAGTCACTAGAATCCAAAAAGGGAGCTAAAAGAAGACCGAATGCAAGCGGCCCAAGGACGACTGGCAGATATGAGAGGTAGGAGCTCCATCACTGGGAACAACGTCAACATCCATGTATTTGTGTGTGTGTGTGTGTGTGTGTGTGTGTGTGTGTGTGTGTGTGTGTGTGTGTGTGTGTGTTCATGTTCATGAGTGTATGGCTAGGTGGGCTGCTATCAGCTGCTGAGTTTAATATGTTGTATAAACTGTTGTATAACTGAGTGGTAATGAAGCATGAACTACTCCTTGCTTCACTTCCTAAATGAACAGTTAAACGTACACATGGCAGCACTACATTCTCACTTTTAACTGTAGATAAACATGGCCTGTGCATGCTTATCATTGTAAAAAGGTTTTGGTATCAAGTGCATTTAAAACTGTACTTGCTGCGTGCTGTGTGCTTGTCATTACAAGCTTCTCTGTGTGTAGTTTGGGTTGGAGGGACATTTTAAAGCAAAGAGCCATTCTCCTGTGTTGACCTCATTTCAGAGCTGCTGTTACAATGCTTCACTGAGCTGATGCCGTTTCTGTGTGCCCGGGCAGTGTATGTATATGAGTTTGTTTATGAGTACGTGCACATGTGTGTAAGCCCATGTGATTGAATGCATCCCTGCATACACACACACACACACACACACACACACACACACACACACACACACACACACACACACACACACACACACACACGCACACTCTAATTTCACTAACAAGGATGCAATTAATACTAGGCTTTGCACTACAGCGCAGTACAACTCAAGTCAGCCGTGTTCTGATTGTTTTTGTTGACGCGAGCGACATACTGTAATCATAACAGCAACACTGCCAAGAGCTGCCGTACCAAACTAC